GTCCATTTAATTGAAAAAGTGTGAAACAGATTTATTTTTTTATCGCAATGTACGATATTTAGTAACAAAAGTGACACAAACCAAAACAAAGGTAATTGGCTAACCTTTATATACAAAATGCATATTTAAAAAAGAGTAAAAAAAAAAAATTTTTCTCCTTCAAATTTTGAAGCAGTTTCTTGTTGCAGTTACTAAACAAGTGTGTGTGTATATGTGTGTATATATATATATATATATATATATATATATATATATATATACACACACACACACTAACTTGTTTAGTGACTGATGCAGGTTTGACCCATGCTAGAGACCGGGACTGACATGAAGCCATTATTCACCTGATGTGAAATTCATCATTCATGTCTTGCAAAAGTTCTGACTGCATTCATAGTCTTGCGAAAGAAGTTCTGGCTGTTTGGTAGACATGGTTTTTGATTTCTTTCAGTATTTATAGGAAACTGTTTGAGTCTGAAAAAAAATGAGATGTTTTTACTTGTTAACTTGAATAGAAGTCAAGCTAATAGCAATAAATTCATGCAATTCAAACTTGGTATTTGTGGGTATTTGTCAGATCTATAATAATATTGAAACAAAAATTGAGATAATGAGACAAACTTGAAAAGCTACTTGGACAATGCCTTTTATCTCCTTGTAGCAGTAAAGTGGGTTGGAATATTGAGGAAGAGGTAATATCTTTATCAGATGCTATGGCCAGAAAATTTTGTTTTTTCTATATTGAAGCTGTTAATGATTATTGGATTTGAAATTAGCCTATTCAGAGTAAATGCTTTTTATTCTTTATTAGCTTGCATACTGCATTGTATTAGTATTATTTTTGCAATGATTAGTGATATTGTGTATGAAACCTGGTCTGAGGTTGACTGTAGGGAATTGAGGATAATCCACTCCCAACTCAGATTGGAAGCAGGAAATTAACCCTCGTCATCTACTTCACGGCTGTGAACCAATGACAAAGAGGCTAAAGTCAAGACAACTTTTTCCACTCAGCTGAACCACTGAACAACATAGATCCTAGCCAGCATCTGACCCCATGGTGCAGCCCCCTTAACAATGTGGAACACAAGCTGAAGTTGACTGTAGGGAATTGAGGATAATCCACTCCCAACTCAAATTGAAAGCAGGAAATTGACTTTCATCACCCATTTCATGGCTGTGAATCAATGACAGAGGCTCAAGTCAAGACAACTTTTTACTTTCAGCCAAACCATTGAACAACATAGCACCGTCAATGTCTGTCCTTGTGGTGCAGCCCCCTTAACAACATGGAAGTCAAGTTTTTCTCTCAGCCCTACAGAATCCCACCCACTGGCTCAAGCGATGCCTGGCCCTTCTGGTCCTGCCTAAATCACCTCCAAACAGCTGTTGGTCACTGCAGAGCCAACCTTCAGAAATGGTGATATGCTACTGATGTTGATCCCAACTGTCAATCTGTGCAATCATAAACTATGGAACATCTTCTAGTTTGCCCCCAATCTTGAAGATACATGCACACTTTGAAACTTTAATCCTTGTCAGCAGGTTTTTCCAACCCCTGGTTTCACTAACACACTGGTGCCATTATGCAACAATTGGCCTCAAATTTTGTTTAAGATTTCATTTAACTAGAATCCAGGTGGTTTAAGATGAGGTGTTCAAAGAGCTTGTAGGTATGACAAAAAAAGCTCAAGTCAAGACATAGGCTTTTTACACTCAGCCGAACCACTGAACATAGCTCCTAGTCAGTGTCTAACCCTATGGTGCAGCTACGTTAACAATGTGGATCACAGGCACTCTCTCATGTCTACAGAATCACTCCCCCCACTGGCTCCAGTGATTCCTGGCTCTTTTGGTCCTGCCTGTATTGCCTCCGAACAGCTGTTGGTCACTGTAGAGCTGACCTTCAGAAATGGGGACATGCCACTGATGTTGATCCGAACTGCCAATGCGGGCAATCACAAACTATGGATGATATTCTAGTTTGCCCCAAGGTTGAAGATCTGTGCACACTTAACAATCTTGGAGAAATCTCCAGTTGATGCTATAGACAGTTTGATTCTTGGGAGCTAATATGGCCCTCTCACAAAGCCAGTTTGAATCCATGAAACTGTGTTTAATGTTTGGATAAACATGTTTAATCAAATCTTGGATACTTGAGACTGAAACTTCACAACCATTTGGGAAGGAAATATCTCCACTTTAGTCCATTTTAATGGTTCCATTGTCAAACTGCAGCAGCAAAGCAGCAAATATTCCTGCTTCATTCCTGAAACTGAAGTAAAAAGCATTATGAAAGTGTAAAAATAGGTTCTAATATCAGAAATACTTTGTAAAAAAATTATTACCAGAAATAAATTTTTGAAGAAAAAAAAAAAAAATATTAACAGCAATATATTTTTGAAAAAAAAAAAAAAAAAAATATTTTTGAAAAAAAAAAAAAAATAATAGCAAATTGAAAAAAAAAAAAAAATATTAACAGCAATATATTTTTGAAAAAAAAAAAAAAAAATATTAAAACAAAAATATATTTTTTGAAAAAAAAAAATATATTAACAGAAATATATTTTTTAAGAAAAAAAAAAAATATTAACAGAAATATATTTTTGAAAAAAAAAAAAAATATTAACAGCAATATATTTTTGAAAAAAAAAAATATTAACAGCAATATATTTTTGAAAAAAAAAATATTAACAGCAATATATTTTTGAAAAAAAAAATATTAACAGCAATATATTTTTGAAAATAATATTACTAGTTATACATTTCTGAAAATAATATTACCAGCAATACATTTTTGAAAAAAATATTACCAGAAATACATTTTTGACAAAACAAAATATTACTAGGAGAAAAAGTTGTCAGCATTAAATAACCCAGTGAGGTTGATATGCTGTAAAACAAAATGAACCAAACCAGACCAAACCCTACTGTACTGTGCAGTCAACAAAACCAAAACAATGCACATGTGTGAAATTTAAAAATACATAAAATGGTGACAATTTTCCAATCACACCCTGTATATGTTTGTAAAGATGAGAACTTTATAAATTCACTTTCTGAGACATTTCAGTCAGGAAGTGTTGTTGATATTTCATTTCTCTATTTTCTTCTGATCATAGTCTCATTTAAAATCTTGTTATATAATTAATATATCAGGTGTGTTTTTTGCCTGGTCTGAATCAAACAGAATAGGTAATTTTGAGTTCAATCCCTGGGCTGGGGAATGCATATTTGAACTCTGTAGAAACGGGGTGAGCAATAACTCGGCAGTACTGAAGGAGAACTAGATGAGATATCTCTAGGGATGGTCGCCGGAATGAGAACAATCTACTCCCATTGATTAACTAAAGTGTTTAGTTAGGAAGTTCCTGTAGGTAACCTTGGTCAACCTTCATCTGATGAAAGTTGAAGAGCACAATAGGTAAATAGATAGCAGTAAAGATGAGGACAATAGTCCGCATGTAAATGCCCCCCCCCCTCCTTTTTTTTCTGCACTCAAATGATCTTTTACAGGGTTCATCAGAGCAAGGGAAATAAGGTAGACTGTAAGATATTTTGGAGTCAGTCTTTGAAAAGATCGGTTTTGAGAAGAGGACAATGCTTATTATTAAAAAACAAAGTTTTAAATGCCATCATGTTTTTATGGTATAAGTCAGGCAGACATAGGCAACATTTTTTTTTTTTTTTTTTTTTTTTTGAATAGTGGGTCAAATGAGGTGCAGTTCATCATAAGGCTGGTTGCACTACTAAAAAAAAAAAAACATGGTAATTTTTCTTTAAGGATACCACAGACATTTTCGCAGCAAAATCCCATGTGCATCAGCATCTGCCTTAGAAATCAAGAGCAGTCAATTTTTTTGTCCCCCCCCCACACTCTTTGGAGAAAAGATTCTTCTTATAATTAAAAAAATAAACAAAAAAAAACTGAAGTCTTGGTATATTATCATTGATTAGTGATTAACAGATGCTGCTGCATGTGATTCATTTCTAATTTATTCATTTGACGATGCAAAAACATTTTTTAAAAGTATATTTATTCTCTAGAGAAAAATAATTATCATTAACGTTTTCTGTTTCTGAAGCAAATGGTGTTTGCACTTACGATCTTCCTTAGTGAAAATCACTAACGGTTTAAAATGCTGACAATGTTACCTTCAACAAAAAGTTACAAAATTCAAGAAACATTGTACTTAATCATTGTTTATGTATGTGGCTAAGTGAACAAGTGAAAATGAAAGAAAATAAACATTTTAATAATGCTATTTTTCCTTATGAAATTAGGTGTGTCATTCAGAATACCAACATAGCCATGTGTGGCCTATAACTGTTATAAGTAATCTAGTAATGAAATGTTTGTGACTGGACCTAAATGTTGTAGTTTTGAAATCCTGGTGAAGTATTTGATTCTTTTTGTTCTGTTTGCAATTATTGGGCAGTAGAAAAGGAATTGAACCATTTTGTGCAAAATGAGTGAAGTAGAGAGGTCAGAAAGAAAAAAAAAATATTCAGTTTTTCTATTGATATTAAACAGAATATCAGATCAATTTATATGGACAATTTATAAAATCGTTCAGGAGGAGGGATTGAGAGTTGCAGTTGTGTTTTGTGCGCTTGTAGAGTGCACTTGTTCCTTGTAGCCATTTGGTTTTGAACAACACAAGAATCAATGAAATTGTATTTTACTTACACACACAATCCTACATCACTTATTTTTTCTCTCTCTCTCTCTCTCTCTCTTTATGACCGGAATGTTCTTCATGTACAAGTCAGTTTTTATCTCTCCCTCGAGAAGACAAATTGCCAAAAATGCTTTAGTCAAGTGATTCTCTTTCTGTTTCATTTGACAGCAGTTGAAGAAGCTTATGTCGAAAAAGGCATGAACTGTTTGTTTCTATATACATTGGAAGTTGTCAGGATCTTTTCTGAATTTATATTTAAATATCTATTTACGTCAATACATGCATGTGTGTCTAATGAGCTTACTTGTAATTTAACAGGTCTTCTCTACTTGGGCAACATTTGAGTATGATCGAAGGAATGAAGATGTTGATCCCGTTGCTGCTTCAGCCGAGTACGAGTTGGAGAAGAGAGTGGACAGGATGGACGTTTTCCCAGTTGAGCTACAGAAAGGTGAGAGATTACTGCATTTCCACCTTCCTTGGTCTTTCTTATTTCTTGATATAGTTATAGACTTCTGCTTTAGTAATAGTTTTTTGCTACTATTAATGACAGTTATAAACATGGTTGATGTAAGTTGGTTACTAAGGTTTTGTGTTAATCTCTGTGTCTTTATACTTACTTGAGTGTAAAACTGAATTCTGTAATTATTGCAATCTCACCTTACTCTTATATGAGAATTGCATGAATGGTGTTTTCAGCCTCTTGTCACCCCAAAGCATTTTTTATTCTTACCCTTTATTTTTATATATATTCCTAGTCATATATTCCCCAATTTATGAATAAATTGTTTGCCATTGACACTGCATGCAAGATTTATGAAATATAAAAGATTACAAATTTTAATTAATATAATGAATTTACATGTAAAATGATTTTTGTAGAAAAATTATCTCCTCCAAATATTGATATTAATACATTAATATTTGTACATTACTAGCTGTACCCATATAAATTCCCCAGAGTTTTTATAATATTGATTTTTAGATTAAACTATGAGCATAAATACTGTTTACTCTGCAGTGAGATTGATGTTGGGAATAAATTACTTATGCATGCTACTTTGCAATTTTAATTACTCACGTGAAAATACTTTTGACTTGGAGATTTTAAACACCAAGTGGGGGAAAAGGAAGGGTTTGAAAGATAGATTTACTTGTACAAAAATATTTGACAACAGCTTAGACTTCTAAATATCCATTTTTGATGTAGATTCATTGAAAGTACACTCATTTTGTACTATACAGGTAATGTTTTAATAAAGTCTGTGGGAATTACTAATAAAATTTCAATTAGTCATGAACATACACGTACATATAAATTATTTTTTCAATACTGTAGATTAGTCAATTTTGGGGGAAATTTTGCAGCTGCAACAGTGCATCTTCATTTCTGTCTTTTTGATGCAAAAAAAGATGTCACACCTGATTGAGGAACATATTGTTTCAGAATGCAATGGCAGACTTAGCATTATACTGTCAATCTTCACCCTGAAATAGGTCAAAGGCAATGGACTGTCACCATGATTCAATTTATTTAAAAACATCTTTCAAAAATAGCTGATTTAAACTTTAATTAATCTGATTGGAAACAAATATTACTTATTTTTGGTTGAAAATATCACAGAAAAGCATTTTTTAACACTGAGGTGGGTATTTTTCATAAGGTGTTGATAGACTTATGTTTTTGAATTTGTTTCTATAGGAGACATAACTGTAAAAATTACTTGACAGTTTAACATGAATGCTTTTTCTTCTCTTTTCAACATAATTTTTTAATTGCCCAGTAATCTGAAAAATTTAGGGAAAATATTCAATCTAATATTTTATTGAATTTTAGATAATTTGGCTTTATAGTCTTATGAAGACGTTTCTTGAAATGTTAGAAAATTACCAATAAATTTTAGATATATTGTTACCATTCTTATTTTCTGATAATGTCATATATGGGTGTTCATATTTACAAAATTGGTACATATATACACAAAAAAAAACAAAACAAAATTATTTTTAAAATACTGTAAGTTTTTCCATTTATACTCAATACAGTTTTTACTTAATATCACATAAGTGATACAAATAATTGCAAAATTTTAAGATTTGAAACTATGAATTATAAGAAAAAATTAAAAAAATGGAAACAATTCTTGTAAAAATTAATTGAAATTTTTTCATTTTTTACTTTGTTTTAAAGAGAATAATATATCTTATTCATAAAAGCATTTAAAAGCTTTTCTAATTAAATAATGTCTTAGTTTTATTGTATTTTTTATTTTATGATTCAGGGCAGATTTTCTGTAACTGGAGATCCTGTTTTGCAAAAAAAAAAAACATTTGATTTAAAGTTTCCAAGGACTTGTGCTTATAACTAATATAAAAAATGAATTTCTCAATTTCACAAAATTAAATAAGTGGGGGTAACACACACATATATATATATATATATATATATATATATATATATGTATGTGTGTGTGAATAGGCCCAGCAAGTTTCATTAAAATCTGAATTATGTTTTTTTTTTTTTTTTTTTTTTTTTTTTTTGAATAATTTCAAAATCAATGAGTTTTTCATTGCAAAAAGATGAAATTTCCCATACGGATTTATGGACACAAGAAAGAAAATTTTTAGTTAAAATTTGAAGGTTCTAAAAAGGATTAAAAAACAATTTTATAATAAAAAAATATCCTTTGGTTGTTTCTCAATAATAAAGATTTTGATGATAACTTTCTTTTTATCAATTTTTTTTTTTTTTTTTTTTTTCATGGTATTCTCATAATTTAGTGAATCTTTGGAGGGTACCTACCTAAAATGTTGCTGCTTACTTATTTCTAAAAGCTTAACATGAATTTCAGTTTTCATCTGAATTGGAATTAATAAGGTTAATTGATTAAATTTTAATTAAAAAAGCGGGCAAGATAAATTGCTAAGCTAGTGTTACAGACATTTAGACAAAGGACTTAGATTTATACTGACAGTTGCCTATTTGATATTTTGCATGACTCTAGTTCCTGAGTACACTTTATGGTCTGACTTGATGCAAATAAAAATTAAAAAAAGGGCTGAATGTTTGGAAAGGTAAACAAAATAAGCAGATATTTTACTATATGTAGAAAAGGTAGGCAGGAGTAGTGTTTTTAAGTAAAATATTTATTCACAAAACAACACTGGATCAGGTTAATTTGTCCTCCTAAAAAACAAAATCAATAAATGGTTTATTTCTGTTGGATATTTCAGGAGTTTAGGAAGTCTGTTTTGTTTGCAGGTGAAAGTCATAGTAAATCAAAATACCTCTAAAATTGGTTTCTAACACTTCTACAGTTACATATTTGATATTTTTCATACTTAGGGGTTCCTAGTATCCAAACTTTATATGAAGAAACCCTCAAGAAGGCTGTAAACAATGTAATCGTATATACAAAGATGGATTATGCCAAATAATGGACTTAGAGAGGGCACCTCGAGGCGGTGTAATGGTTAGCAAGCTTGTCTCGCTAAAACAATTATGACTGAGTAGTGAGTTCGAACCTCACTGGGTGCCCCATACTTTCGGCCTTGTGCCACATCTAAGCTTCACTTGGAAAATCACAATAATGGACTTAGTGAATTAAGCCAATGTTTAATTAAATCAAATTAATGACTTTTAAATTAAATTTTAATTTAACTCCTAAAATGTTGGTATTTACTTCGTTACCCCCCTTTTTTTTATAATTCTAATAACTGCATATTTTTTTTTTTTTACATCTCTCATTCTGATTGAATTGATTTAATTTTTTTTTTTTAATAAATTAGAATATAAAATCAACTCTATTTTGAAACAAATCCATTATAAATTAAATAAACTCAAATATCAAAACGTGTAACTAACATTTTACTTACTTAAACAGTAGCACAATAATGTTTTAGATGATATTAATGGATTATAACTATTTAGGAATTAAAGTTTCAATAGTTTTGTCAGTTTTTTATGAATTTTAATTTTGATAAGTATTATTAATTTTCTGGAAATTTTAAATACTTTTTTATATTCATTTAAATTAAAAAAAAAATTAAAATCTAAGTAATTTTGGTACAATTTTGTGTCAGATTTTTGTTTATTTTTTATTTTATTTATTTTTTATTTTATTACTGAAAGTGATCATGGTCTTCTTGATGGGCCATTAGTAAACAAAAACAAAATAAATAAAATAAATAGAAAATAAATAAAATAAAAAATGAACCCTCTGGACAGTAAGAATGAATGGTGTAATTTATGCTAATATGTAGGAAAGAAAGATTGTAGTGGTTGGGAAAGCATCTTCATGGGATTCTCTTCTACAAAGCAAAAGATTTTGGGAAGAAGCTGAGTGGGACTTGCTCCTTAATAAAGGAATGTGAAAGGAATGAGGCTGATTTGTCTCAATATACATGATATGGTGGTCTTAACTTGGAGGGTTATGTTGATGTTTAAATATCTGTATACTGTAAAATCAATTTCTTGTCTGGTAAATAAGGATGTGTGGGTGGTGCAGTGGATTGTGCCTTAGAATGAAAAATCAGAGAGCAGAGTTCCAATTCCAGTGTCGTTTGTTATATTCACTTTTGGTCAAATGCCCTTGAGGGTGGTATGAATCTATCTTCTTACCCAGCTATAGGTTAAACAGTAGGACTTGTATTTGAAAAAAATCATTCTCAAAAACATCTTTATGCAATATTCACTCTCAAAAGAAATGAATTAGTCTTAAAATCCAAAATATTTTGTTCTTCAGCAAAAGGATTTATCAATGTCTGGTAAATACCATATATTTCCACATATAAGACATCTTTAAATCCCCAAGAACACTATCAAAAATCAGGGTTTGTCTTGTATTACAATTTTCAAAAAGAAACCTTAAATTCCTCATGTTGTTAGTTGGTAGGCTAACCTAGGCTTCCTGTGTGATAACCAATAACATACATGAAAAGATTCACATTATCAAATAAACTGATAAGAAAAGTAATAAAACCATTTCTACCTTATATATTAATGGCATAACTTCATAATAATATTGCCTATTCAAATAATTCCATATCAATGAAATCAACTGGTATCCGTGTAAGCTCAGCTGAGAAAATGTAAATATCGAGTTATGATTGCATTCACAGCAATGGAATGTACTGTTATTGTACATTATCATACTGTTATTAGCAGTATTTTAGGATTGTCGATGAAGTATAAGTAAATGACCAATATTACATCAGGCTTTTTGTAACTGTTTAGACATTGGAAAAGAGGAAGAATTGGTATTTGCAAGAGATCATGTGATGAAATGTAAACAAAACAATGGTTACTCTTTTAAGTGATGTGTGTAGGAAAAACATCATATAGAATCAGTTTTTTGTTTTTGAATTTCTAATGATACATCTTGTACTACAGGTATAGGATAAATTTGTGAAAATTTGCGATATTTTTTACCTTTTAGGTCACCTTATATGTGGAAATATATGTACTTTGATTTTTATTTTTGTTTAATTTCGTTTTTAATGATCCATTTATCAGTGTAATTTACTGAGTACTATTGCGAACTTTATCTTCAGGGTTTTTTTTTTTTTTTTTTTCATGGAATTAACCCTTCACAAACAAAAAAATTCTAGGAATAATTTTAAAATCAATGGTGGTTGTATTAATGTAGGTACCTCCATGAGATCACTAAAAAAGAGCATAGCATGATGAAAATGATGCCAAACTTAACAACAAAATTTTATCATCTAAATGTTCATGTTATTATTAATAGGAAAGATCAAAGTATTTTGGGGGTATTTTTTTTTTTTACATTTTTTTAATCATTTCTAGCATGTCTGAAATTTTCGTTAAAAAATTTTTTTTTTTTTTTTGAGTCATCAAAATTGGCAGATAATCAATCATGGCAACCATTTTTTTTCCATTTTATAAAAAAAAAAAATGAAAATCTCAGTTTGAAATTCTTTTAAAAATCAATTATTTTTTCAAAACTTATTTTAAGAAAATCAGAAATTGTAATGTTTATTTAAAATATTTTGAACCAAGCTTAACTTAGCTTCTGCACCAAAAAGATGTAATTTGAAAATAAAACAAAGCAGGTCATAACCTTTCGCGTTACTTGACAGGTGATGAATGACATTTTCATGATGTTTTGATAGCTTATGTGAGAATAATTCCTTCTATGGAAGGAGAGAAGTGAAGTTATTGAGATTTAAGTGATCAAATTATTTACCTCGTTATTTTTAAGGAAAACTTTCAGTGCTCTAAATTTTTTTTTTTTTTTTTTTTTTTTGTACTGAGCTTTCACCTTTACATTTATGATGCTTTATGGAAAATATAAAGAAATTAAAATAAGACTGTTAAGAGTGAGATTAAATTTCATATTTCATAAGAAAGGTATCTAATTTATAGGTACCTTTCTTATGAAATTTTATTAGAAGTGTACATAAAATACTATAATTTTATGTACATTTATTACATTTTACTGTGTTATTTGTATTTCCATTCATTTTATTAATTTTGATATTTCATTTATGGAAAAATGTCATAACTGACATTAATATAAAAATAAGATCATATAAATTTCATAAGATGATACTAATACTTGTAGGTATCCTGCTCAGTTGAAATTGAAAAATCAAATTAACTTCACACGTGTTTCGCAAAAGTAAAGGCCTTAACAGCGGAGAACAATGCTTAACTCAAATAACGCAACTTGTATTCTGGTTGGTCTTCTGTACTTTATAATTACAGCCTGATTATAAACACAAAATTACATTTCTTAATTACTGCGGATCTTCTGATTAGTCAAAATGATACAATTTCATAAGGACACTTATGAAAGCGGATGTGGCTTTTAACTAATTTTATAATATATTAACAACTTAAATGTAAAAATCTATTATAATTAAAGAAATAACAAATAATTGTATTAAAAATTCATTTTTCATCAAAAAAATTTTTTGCTTTCAGAAAATATTGTTCATATTTTAAAAAACAACTAAAAGCAAATAAAAGCATTTGAAATTAAGTAATAGCTTTGTTTTTTTTTTTTTTTTTTTTTTTGAGTTTTGTATGTTACAATTCAGAACTGATTTTCAATAAAAAACAAACAAACATGATTTGCATTCTTCAAAGCCTTGTGCTTTTAACTATTGTAATCACTAAACTGGATTCGATCGTATTTCTTGAGCCTTCATAAAATTACTTATGGTAGGGGGTAATAAATATAAAAAAATATTTCTGCCATGACTTTAATAAAAAAAAAAAAAACATTTATAATAATTTTGAACATCTGACAATCATTTTTATTTTTGAAAGATTTTCCAAATTAATGTGAGTCATACAAAAAAAAAAAAAAATATATGCTAAAATTGTATGTTATTTTACTAATGCTGGTGCTACAAAAAGAAACAAGTTTTTTTTGTTATTTTTTTAATCAAAATTTAGAATGTTTTAAAAAGAAGGAACAATTTTAAGAAATAATTAAAAAAAAAAAAAACAAACTTTGGTCTTTCCTCTTCATAATAACAAAAACTTTGATAAAATTTTGTTTTTGGCAAGGTTGGCGTCTTCTTCATCATGCTATGCTCTTTTTTTTTTTTTTTTTTTTTTTTTTTTTTTAGTGATCTCATGGAGGTAAGTATGTTAAAGGTTTTGGATTGTTGGGTTTTACTCTCTAATCTGTGATCAATGTGTTCTTCAAGAAATCATTTATTTTTGCTTTATCTTGTCTTTTTAGTTATTTAATCAGTTTTCTTTTAATATAAAAATCATTATTTGTACTTGTCTTTTTGTTTGTTAAAATGGTTTGATACTTACTGCTGTGTGACCCACATAGATGCCATTGGTTTGAAAAATGATTCAGTTGATATGTTTCCAAATTTTTTAAAATCTTTAATGTGTAAAAAGTTTATTTTTTTATGCTTTTTTTATTTATTTTTAATTTAAATTTTTATTTTTTTGTGAAAGGTCACGATGGCCTCGGGCTGAGTATTATAGGCATGGGTGTTGGTGCCGATGCTGGCCTGGAGAAATTGGGCATTTTTATCAAGACCTTAGCCCCTGGTGGTGCAGCTCAAAGAGATGGCAAGTAAGTTAAGAATATAACATTTTTCATTTAATATTGGCAAGATTTAAGAATATTTTGAAGAAGATCTGAGGGGTGAAACTGCAGTAGCTTGGTATATTTTATGATGAGAACTGTTGTTTTTGTTGTTGCAGTTATTTGAGTAATTTATTTTTTACCCAGCTTACTAACCCCTTTAAGAAAACACTTGCTAACCATTTTGTTTTGTATTTTCTGTATATCTTTGTATACACACCTATTCAATCTTAGAAGCTTAAGAAAATCAACTGTTACTCAATAAAATACATGCATTTGATATATATATATATATATATATATATATATATATATATATATATAGGGAAAGCAATATTTTTTCCAAAAAGACAAAATGTGTTATATGAAAAATCTTCTTTTCCACTTTGTCATGGATTTTCCAAAAATATATTGAAATCTCTTTATTAGTGGAATGAACTTTTTCGAAAAAGGTTTGTCTATGAGAATATAGGGTCAGAATCCTGAATATAACATCGATAAGCAAAGTTATAAATTTTATATTTGTATTAATCATATCTCACTATATATATATATATATATATATATATATATATATATACAGAAACCCGGATACAAGTGACTTCTTCTCCGGTCCCGACAAGTCTCTTATATCCGGGTTACACTGTATATATGTTTTATGTGCCATTTCATATTGCTAAATTGAAGTGGCTTTTGTAGTCGAACGTATAAAATTGTTTCCGTCAATTAACACAAATAATGGCTCTCCACAACTTCTTGCCTTTTGTTGATCTATGTAACTTTTGACTCCTCGTCATCAAACTTTTTTCCTGTAGCTCTCCACGACATCTTTTGTTGTTCTAAACATTTGAGTTTTTATCATCCTTCTTTGTCCATGTTCTGGTATCTATTTGCACGAACTCATTAAAATTATATATATATATATATATATATATATATTTCCTTTTATGAGCTATGGAAGTAAAGAAAGCATGTACATTTCTCCTCTGCCTCTATCGCACTTCATGTCATGTGTTTATTTATTTGTTAGTAAATCAATTGTCTAAAGATAGTGAAAGGTTGAAACCAAAGTAGCTGAATAGGCTGATCTTCTAATTTTTAAACATATATATATATTATTTTTAAACATATATATATATATATATATATATATATATATATATATATATAGATACTGAATAATTTTTAAACATATATATAGATACTGAATAATAATGGTATAGTTTGTAGATATGTGAAGATGTGAAACTGTCACTATATATATATATATATATATATATATATATATATATTGTGTGTAGGACAGTGGAAAATGTTTTTCTTGTGATATGTTTGGTCCTTTTAGTCTGAAGTCTTAAAGGACAAAACATGTCACAAAATCTTTTCCACTTTTTCATAAATTTTTCCCCCCCAATATTGTTCTGAGTATATCAAAATCTGACATTTGGACAAAAAAACATCAATTTTGTACATTTCACAACCAAACAGTTCTGCCACTGCTGGTAACACCTGTGGCATGCTGTTCTTGATCAGGAAAGTTTTGACTATATGGGTGGAATAAATGACTAAATTTCACTGACACTCTGCATTCATAAATCCTCTGTTAAAATGGAATGCACTGATCCTGTGCATATTCCCACTTCATGAGCAGTTTTCCTGTATTACATGATGGTCTTCCATGACTATTCACCAAACCTTCTCAATTGGCTCCTCGTTTTGGCTTGTGGATAGTCTGCTTGAGTGTGTCTCACTCTCCACTAAGGTGTGACCATGTTTCAAGTGGTTGTACCACTCCATGATCTAAGTTTTACTCATGGCATCATCACCAAAAGCCTGCTGAATTTTTTGGATGATTTGAGCTTGAGTATCACAAAGTTTTTGAAAAATCTTGATGCAGTATTTCTGCTTGATGCTTCATCTTGTTTGAAAATTGAAAATCCAATGTGTGTGCACTACATGTCTGTACTCTAGGTGTATAGGTGTAACATCCGGGGAACTGACATGGCCTAGTGGAACAAAAAGTTTCACACATGGACATTTTTTTTTTTTTTTAAGGTTTGGGGGGATAAAGTCAGATATTTTTTCTAATGCACCATGTGTGTGTGTATATATATATATATATATATATATATATATATATATTATACATTGTGACATGGAAATTTCTATGTTTTGGAACTTTAAATTTGTTCCATTATCAAGCGATGTTAGGTAACTTTTGATGAAAAATGATTTACATTTGAAAACAGGTATTTTATTGAACAATTAAAAAGGAGGTGGGAACAAGATTTCAATATATAATGGGTATGTCCTGTTTGACCAATCAAAAGACAGGTCAAAGCTAAATCAGAAAAGAGAAAAATATAGGTTAGAGCTTAGTGGTGTGTGTGTGTTATTCATACTTGTCTAGATGAACTGTCACTTTTAGACATGGCACCATTACATCCAGTTGAGAAATATAATTTTAAGATGCAATGAAATAATCAGATATATATAGGTTAATTTTAGGATTTTATTATTTTTTTTTAATTATTTTCGTATATATTTAGGACTATCTTAAAGAGGCCTCCTCTATGTTGTATCAAGCACTTTTTAAAAGAAAGTAAATTCTAAAGAACTGTGGATTCTTAATCTAACTTTCGTTTCTCTTTATTTGGAGATATATATATATATATATATATATATATATATATATACACCAAGTCAAAATTACAAAGAACAAACATTATCTATGAGTTCAAATGCCCTTTAAGGAACTGTGTTCCTCACCAAATCGGACTCATAAATAATTACATCGGCTACACAACCACATGTTTATCGAGACGTCTTACGTTACACCTATCCGATCACAGCTCCATCAGAACACATTTAAACACACACTCAGATTTACCCGACACTATTAGGAACATACTAGTAGAAAATACAAATATATTAACTGCATCCACTTGCAAAAAAAGACTAAAAATAATGGAAGCTCTAATAATAAAAAAGAAAAAGCCAACTCTTAACAATATTAACTATGAACAAAGCCATAATGTGCTAACCGTATTTGAAAATTAAAAACATCACTACCACACACTGAACATACACAGAATGCACACCCTTTACTAAGCTGATAATCGAATCATCCTTGATAATGGCTAAAGGTATAGCCGAAAGCGCTCGGAAATACAAAACATTTGAACAGTTCTTATACACCCTTTGTCCAGAAAAGAAAGCTCTTGTCAGAACACAAAAGTTAAATAAAAAGCTCAACCGTAGTACCTTGTCTGTCATTTTTAATGAAACATGCATAAAGGAAGGATTGCTGCCTAAAATATATATATATATATATATATATATATTAAGGAATTGTATTCCTGATCAATCAAAATTCGTAAATAATTATATAGGCCATACTACAACATGTTTGGCATGAAGACTCGCACTACACCTTTCTGACCATAGCTCAATTAGGTCTCATTTAAATACTCATGGAGACCGACTGGACCCTATTTGTAACATACTTGTTAACAATACAGATATAATAGCATCATCTACATGTAAAAAAGGCTAAAAATAATGTAAGCCTTATTAATAAAAACAGAAAAAAACAACACTCAATAAAATCAACTATGAACATGGACACAATATCTTGACTGTTTTGAAAATGAAAACATTATATAAATATATACATACAACAATTAAAACAATGAGACCTAGTTGCCAATCTTTCCTGGAAGCGGCGAGACCTAGTTGCCAATCTTTCCTGAGACCCTGGTGCCAATCTTTCCTGGGCGAGACCTAGTTGCCAATCTTTCCTGGAAGCGGCGAGACCTAGTTGCCAATCTTTCCTGGAAGCGGCGAGACCTAGTTGCCAATCTTTCCTGGAAGCGGCGAGACCTAGTTGCCAATCTTTCCTGGAAGCGGCGAGAACCTAGTTGCCAATCTTTCCTGGAAGCGGCGAGACCTGGTGCCAATCTTTCCTGGGCGGCGAGACCTGGTGCCAATCTTTCCTGGGCGGCGAGACCTAGTTGCCAATCTTTCCTGGGCGGCGAGACCTGGTGCCAATCTTTCCTGGGCAGCGAGACCTGGTGCCAATCTTTCCTGGGCGGCGAGACCTGTTGCCAATCTTTCCTGGGCGGCGAGACCTGGTGCCAATCTTTCCTGGGCAGGCGGGGACCTAGTTGCCAATCTTTCCTGGAAGCGGCGAGACCTAGTTGCCAATCTTTCCTGGAAGCGGCGAGACCTAGTTGCCAATCTTTCCTGGAAGCGGCGAGACCTAGTTGCCAATCTTTCCTGGAAGCGGCGAGACCTAGTTGCCAATCTTTCCTGGAAATGAAATCTCTGGGCTTTTGTGCTCCGAAGCCCATGAAAGAGACAATGTCTTTTTCATGAGCTTTGGAGCTTGTTCTTCCCTGCCACTCTTTCGCACTACCTCTTCTGCTCATTTCTCCACTCTGTTTTTCACCCCCCCCCCTGTCCTTGTAAATTTATCTCCCCTCTGTGCTCATTCCCCCTCATTTCCATCTCTTTCACTCTCCTCAATGCTTGTCCCCCCTCTTTTTCTCTCTCACCCATTTCCTCAGTGCTTGCTCCCACACCTGCTTCTTTTCCCCCCCCTCCAGTGCTCGTTTTCCTTCCCACCCTTGTCTCTTTTTCTATGCCTCTTTGCTCCCCACACTGCATTCTCCCCCCCCCACCTTTTCTGCCCATCTGTCTGTATCTCTCTTTCACTGCTGTAATTTTTCTCCCGACTCTGTTTGCTTTCTATACATAAGTATGAAAATCTCCTGAAATCTCATGGAAACTTGATAAGCACACACACACACACACACACACACACACACACAGTGTATGTGTGAAATGTATGCATTGTTATGTAACTGTATAAATCAAAGCAGTATATTATGCCACCAGCCGAATATTATGATGGCCAATTAACACATTAGCCTCTCTCAATATAATTCTAATTTTATTTGCTTCCCTTTTCCTTCTCCTCTTGCCTT